CAGTTGAACGATGTGTTCTAGGAAACCACGCCCATATGGGCGTGGCTTTCTCTTGGCAAGAAACTCACCAGCCAAAGGAGCATCTCGAAGTAGAACGGTGCTATGGATAACATATCGATGACGTTGAGAAACTGCCGTGCAAATGCGACTTTTCGTGGAGCGACCAGAAATCGCAGCACGTACTCCATTGAGAAGTACACCACACAAATGTTCTCTACCCATGTGAACACCGGATGTTCAGTCATTTCCACCTGAAAAAAATTGAGTACTTTTTTACTTGAAGGCTTGAGATTTATCAGGACCGTTGATAACGGATGTGGTGGTACTGTCGCGAACCTAAAGTACGTGGCAACGGAGATAATGCCTTCGGTTGCTACCGCTGCGAGCGCTGCCATTCTTATCAATCGCTGCATACGTGGCCTCTGCGTCCTCTCGCGTACGACGTGCTCTCTCTCTTTTCTCTCTCCTTGCGGCGCTGTGCCTCCCCACTGAATCACTGTCGATTTCGCAAGAAAAATTGCAGTTTTTCTGTGGTGTTTTTGGCTTCCTCCCCACTAATAATCTGATTCACACATCTTTTCCGATTTTCAAACAGAACGACACATCAACTCGATGGCGACCTGTGCCTTTAAGTCTTCAATGTTTCAAATGTAAGCATGAACGAAAACTTACTTGTTGATCACCACCTTCCCGGATTACCGTCCGCGACTCGACGGTTAATCCACCTCCGGCATTCGGATAAGTAGGATAGGTGGCGGTTGCATATACCTTAATAATAATGTAGATGCTCAATAAGATAGTTGTGAAAAAAAAACTCGAAAAACGTAGAACCAAATGTAGGTCTCATTATAGAATGCGCCACATATTTAACTCGGTTGCGAAAAACAGTGACTTTCCAACTGGGCCAATACAGTGACCTGCGAGCCACCCGATGCACAGCACAGCGTTTTCATTTACCCAGGCGATCTGGTACCAGTGACTGAAATGGGTGGGAGGGGGCTGAGTTCGTCGGAGGAGGTCCAAGCAAGACCTAAAGAAGACTTGACTTTGATCCCAGACTTGACCAAAGCATAAGCGCGTAGATGGCTCCGCTCTCTAACCCGCCTTACGTATTTCAAAATTACTAGCAACTTTTATTCAATTAGGCTTCTGATGTCGCTTTCTCCGGATGGCGGAAAAGAGACGATAGAGAACCATCGTTCAGAAATATCCTGCGGGCAAATGAGGCAGAGCTAAAGCAACCCGCCGTAAGCCCGACAATGCGGGTCAGGCCAGAGGTGCAAGCTCGCCGCTGAAGCCAAGTCGATCCCATATTCGTTGAATTTGATCTAACAATCCACGAACCGCATCTGAGTTGGTTCAAACCTGCTAGATTTCAGAATCCGTTTACGGTGATTGTTCACAAGTGATCAGCCCTCAATTGGGAATTAATTCGCTGGAATGGAGAGCCGTTCAGAGGGAGGTCTTTGCCTAATGTGGCCCCTTTTCTGCAGCAGAAGTATAACCGCAATCGTGCCTCAAAATCCAATTTTCAGGATTGCCTCTGTTTGCGCACAATGTGGGAAAACTGGCTTGGACCAGACCCGCCAAAGTAGAGGGCCAGTGACGCTCCCGACAACCGAAACTGACAAGTTTGATCTAATGCAGAGCGCATCCTTCACCTAGTTCACAGCTTTGAACCCCAAAATCGACTAATTATAGTGAAAAATTCAGCCTCTTGCCAAACCTACCCTAGGGATTATTTAACAGGCTTAAAATCGCTTCCCTCTCAAAATTTTGTAGGGTAAACAGGGTATATTCTTCAAAATGACATAACATCCGATCTCAAGGCTTACCAGTTGGCCGTCCTCGGACTTTTGTGGAACCTGAAACTCCGGCAAGGAA